ACGCGCCGCCGACGGTGTTAGGCCGTCTTTTGACCGAACTCTCTATTCTCTCGGCAATTCATTCATGTCTGAACATAAACATGATTTACTGAATAAAATATCATGATGTACTCAAAGAACTTGAACTTAACATACTTGACATGCATGTACGGCCCGTGGTGCGTTACATGCGCGACCACGTCCTGTGGCCAAACCATCGAGTAACATAACATTCATCGAACAAAACAATCTGGCTGAACATGATACTGTGTAAGATAACTAAATATACGAAGTTGTTTGAAAATTTGACTTAGAACATGACATGCTCGATACAACCTACGCACGGCGACACCATTCACGGCCTACATAGGAGTTGATTTACGTGGAAATGATATCTATTACTTCAAATAGGTAACAAGAATTTACCTCTCACGATGCTCACTTGATCAAACTAAACACCCGAAATACTTGAACCTTGTCGAGACCGGACGTGCGTGCGAGCGTGCGTTAGGCTTGCTGAGCGAAGAACTAAGAGCAATTGTTCAACTATCTATTTGCTGAACTTAATTGAAATATAATGTGCAAATATAGAGCTCAAATTTGTGGGGAAAAATTCATCCAAATGCCTACTTATATAGCACACCGAAGGGGAAAATTAGTGATGATGTGCTTTGTTGGCTTAAGGAGCTAATGCCACTTGCCTCAAGATAAAACAACTTAGGTGACTAATCACCCCTTAAACCTTCTTATGTTGACACGTGCAATAGCTTAATGAGAAGGAAAATGCTTCCTTTGCTTAAGGAAAACATGTACGGCTATTAGCAAAGAATTTGGGAAAAATTATATGTTCGAATTGCTCACGTCTTTTACTCTTTAATTGGGATTAATTATTAATTAATCACTAAATTATGTTTAATTATTTAATTAAATATAATGCTTAATTTCCAAAATTATTCCGAACGTAAACGGGACGTCGAAAATAATTTCGGATAATCTCGACTGAAAATAATTAATTCCAAAAATAATAATCGGCAACGTTATTATATCGGAACTAATAACATGATTTATACTAATAAACTAACGGGATATTACACCTCGCGCACCTCCATGCGCGACCCTCATTAACCACTTCGTGCGCTCGTGCATCACGTCCATGCACTCCTCGATCCAAGCCCGTCCGCATACGCGCTCGTACCCGTCTTTTAGGCCATGCTTGCATCGTTTTGGCCCTATTTTCAGCCTCCTCGATTCCTCTTGGCTCTCGGCCCTT